TTTTGGACGAGGACATAAAAACCCTCCTTAATAAATTAATAGAAATTGACCCTCTCAGAAAGGGGAGATATTTGGATCAATTGAATGGCGTTTCATCAATTATTTCAATTTCATAAATATATATATATATGTAATAAATATGTATTTTTAATAAAAGTTTATATGAACAAATATTATAGTTACAATAACTTGTAAAAATAGTTTAATTTTTGTCAATTGTTTAAAAAATAAAAATATAAATATTCTACAAATTGATTTAATGGTAATCAGTTTTCTGATACGCCGCCTCTCTTTCTGTATGATACATGAGCCTTCGATAAAATAAAGAAGAGAGTATGAATAAATGTTTAGTACATGCTCATTTACGTGGATGCAAAATATATATTAAGATATACATATCCTAGCTTGTTTTGTAAAAAAAAGATTATAACTAGACATGTAAATAAATAATTCTTCAATAGATGGGAGGAGGTGTGTGAAACATAAATCCCTAGTGAAGCTATATCTTGGCCATTAACTTCAATTTAGGACAGTAATTAGATATAGAAGGTCTTCGTATTTTTTTATATGCAGAATGGTATAATTAAGTGATGAGCAGCTAATTTTCCAAAAAAATTATAACTAGGAAGAGACCGGAATCAACAACAATATCGATGGTACAACCAAAAGTTAGAGGTAGAAGAGCCGAGAAAAAGTCGAAGGAAGTAACGACTCAGTCAGAGGATTACACTCGTAGTGACAAAAGTGAAGTTAAAGGAAATGATGGTGAAGTCGAACTGAACCCTGCTCTAAAAACCACTTTTTTTGGTTTAGTTGACTCGAATGAAATTGATTATTTCAAGCAAGCAGAATCTACTTTGAATGTTAATGCTTTTGATAATGACGAAGAGCGTGAGGGTTTTATTAGGTCTGTATTGGAAGAAGCTCGTGGAAAAGAATTAAAGCTTGTGACGAACCAGATCTGTTCCAAGTTAATGGAAAGGTTAGTATTGTTTGCAACTGATAGACAATTAAAGAATATCTTTAGACAGTTTTCTGGACACTTTGTTGCGTTAGCACATCATAAATATTCATCGCATGTTTTAGAGACATTATTAGTTAGAGCGGCTGCATTGATCGAAAAAGAATTAGTCAATGATTTCAAGCAAGACGAGGGTGATGTTAATGATGAAATAAGTCAAGAGCAAGACAGGGAAGATGAAGCCGTTGTATCCATGGAGACATTATTTATTAAAATGTTGGATGAGTTCAATCCACATTTGAAGACAATGGTTGATCATCAATATTCCTCTCATGTTTTGAGATTGTTAATATTGATTATTGCAGGTAAAGAATTACCTTCTACAACAACATCAAATTCTACATTACGTTCTAAGAAGTCCAAAATCGCAAGAAAAATGATTGAGATCAAGGATAATGATGACTTTAATAGGTCATTTCAAACTCCACCATCGTTCAAAGACCAATTAAGAAAAATCTGCAATAGTCTTAGTTCCAAAGGAGACATGAAACATATGAGGGAATTAGCGATTAATAAGGTAGCTTCTCCTGTTATGCAATTACTTATCCAAGTTGAAGGTATAGTTGATAAAGAAAGAACTTTCTGGCACTTAATATTTTTGAATGAGAGTTCAGACAAAAATCCTCAAGAGGAGGCATTCGTTGAATATTTGCTTTCTGATTCAGTGGGTTCACATTTCTTAGAATCTGTTATCAGAAATGGTGGTGCAAGAATGAAATATATTGAAAGATTATACAAGTTATATATGAAAGACAGAGTGTTGAAGTTATCAAAGAGATCAACTACAGGTGTATTCATTATCCAAGCATTATTGTTCAAGTTAAAACCTGTCGAAGTTACATACATCTTGGACCAAATAATTCCAGAGTTGGCCAGTTTAATTTCGATTGATGAAAATCAAAATCTAGAATTAGGTAAAAATATTATTGATGCCTCCATAAGCAGAGATAATTATAGAAGAGAAGAACTTATCGGACAATTATTTGTAAAATTTGCTCCTAATTATGACAGAAATAATCCAAGTGCAGACACATCTTCAGAATTTTTGGAGAACACTTTACATTTAACTGGTTCTACATTAGGTAATACAAGAGATGACTGGCCAACAGCGGAAGAAAGGAGAAGATCATTATTCTTAGAGAAGTTGATGGAATACGACCATTCATTTGTTGTTTGTACTTGGTTAAACTTCTTAGCTTTGCCAATTGCTAGATTCATTCAAATGTGTTACCATGGGGTTTTTTCTCATGTAGTTGAAAATTCATTAGTGGTTATTCCAGCATCAGAAGGAGAACCAAAAAATGTTCTTATTATCAGAAAAAGGTTTTTGAATTTATTCCAGAATGAAATTGTGAACTTAGCGTGTAATTCTTATGGTTCTCATATAGTTGACAGACTTTGGAACTTCACAGTATTACTTAATATGTATAAGGATAGAATTGGGTCAGAATTGGCTTCAGATTCACATAAAGTAAAAGAGAGCACATACGGTAGATTAGTTTGGAAGAACTGGTCTATGGAATTATTCGTTAGAAAGAAATATGACTGGAAGCTGCTAATTAAAAACCAGGAAGAAGAATACTTCGGCTTTGGTGATAATAAAGACCAAAATAATACTGAAAGAGTGAAAAAACCTATTGAATTAAAATTCGAGCAAATGATGAGAGAAAAACAAGCGAAGGAAGAAAGAGCACAGAAAGCTGAAGAAGGTTTCAATAAACGTAAGAACAATGAGTTTGATTATGGGTATAACGACGACAATAAGAAAGCAAAGATAAGAGGTCGTAATCGTTAGAAATAAATCTAAAATATGTATTATAGTAAAAAATAAATATAGATTAAGTCTATTTACATGCGCGTGTTTCTATTTACATCTTCATTCACAATTGTAGTAATATGATATTCATTCAAAGTCTTTTCATTAACATGGCTTGGAGAATCAACAACTGTATCAATCCCCGATTGATTTTTGGGAAATGCAATAACATCTCTAATGCTTGTACTACCAATTAACATTGTACATAACCTATCGAATCCTAATGCTAAACCAGCATGGGGAGGACATCCCATACTCAATGCATGTAATAGATGACCGAATAAATCATTGTAGTTCTGAATTTTTAAAACGTTCTCAAAAATGTATTTTTGTAACTGTGGATCGTGGATTCTTCTTGAACCCCCTCCTACTTCGACCCCATTAATAACCAAATCATAATGTTCTCCTCTTACTTTTAGGGGATCTGATTCTAATAAATCATAATCTTCAAGTTTAGCCATGGTAAAGGGATGGTGAGTTGATTCGAATTTTGTAAAATCATACTCTGGAAATTCTTCGTTTTTATTTTCGGAAATTTCGACAGGATTAAATAACGGGAAGTCAACAACCCATGAACCAACAAATATTTCGTCAGTAGTATAGTTTTCAAAAATATCTCCTGTTGTTCTGTCCAATATTTTTCGTTTCCATTTACTTGGATATTGTGCAATTGCTAATTGTCTAAATTTTCCTAAAGGAGTAGGATTTTCGTAAGGTAATTCAGATCTAGTAGATATGGCTAGAATATCTCCTACCTCTAAACCAAGATATCTGTGTAGTTCGTTTTCATCAAACGTAGCAGTTTTTTGGATCACATTCTTATCTACAAACTTTTGATACCAACTTTGCGCATCTTGTTTGGATTTGATACCCAAAACTATAGGCTTACGTTTTGAATAATTATTAGCATCTGTCAACACACTGGGAACTTTAGACTTTTTAGATGATTCAAGAGCACCTTTTAAAATACAAACCTCTAAAACAGGAAAGTTCTCTTTACTTTTAATTGGCAGAAAAAATGTTGAAATATTCTTGAACTTCAAGCTTGACCTTAAATCAGGTTTGTCTATACCATAGTTGCTTAAAGCATCGATGTAGTTCATTTTGGAAAAAGCCAATGTATCTCTATCCTCAAAATTGATTTTCTCTAAAAGATCATCGGAGTTCACTCTGTACGTTGGTACATTAGCTACTTTGTTCCAAATATTATGTATAAGGTCTTCTACAACAAGGCCTACCTGATCACTATTATTAATATAACTCATTTCCATATCTATTTGAGTAAATTCAGGTTGTCTATCAGCTCTCAAATCTTCATCTCTGAAGCACTTTGCTATCTGGAAATAACGAGTGAATCCAGAACTCATAAGGATCTGTTTATATTGCTGGGGAGATTGTGGTAAAGCATAGAATTTATCGTGCAGTCTTGTAGGAACTAAGAACTCTCTTGCTCCCTCAGGTGTTGATTTAAATAAAAGCGGAGTCTCAATTTCTACAAAATCATGTTTTTCCACAAATATATTTCGGACTAAGTTTGCAACCTTGCTTCTAACCCTCAAAGCATTCTGGTAGAACGGAGTTCTCAACTGTAAGTACCTGAATTGCGGTGGTAAGTCTTTTGGCGACGAATGCTTCAACTTATCGAGTCTCGCAGCATCCAAATTCGAATGATTCAATATTTGATAATTGTGAACTACGAGCTCCCATTTCTTGCATTCGTCTCCTGCCTTCACCTGCTTTAATTGAACAGTACCACTCACGCTAACAGAATCTTCTGCAGTAGTTTCTTTTAACAATTCAAAAAATTTCGTTGGAGTATGCTCGGGCGACAATAAGATCTGAGTTATGTCCCCGTTGGAATCTCTAAGTTCCGCAAAACTTCTAGTTGCCATGATTCTCGGTTTCTTATGGATATGGCCGTTCAAAGTAATGTTGGCGGTTTCATTTCTCAATATTTCATCTATATCTTGATTAATATCTCTTATGGTACAAGTTGCAACGGGGAAGTTGAACTTCGCTAATGTCTTTTCTTTATTTGGCAATTTACTAACATTATGAGATTTATGAGAAGCAAATAACGTTCGTTTTAGCAATATAGAACTTGTGGAAAGGATTCTAGAACTCCCCACTCTCTTACCAATTCCAAGCATATATAAATGGCTAAGCTTCTTTCTATAAAACTTTGTAGTACACTATGGAGTCCTTCCATATTGTCATTTTTCATTATTTGGTTTTGGCACATAGTGTAGCACCAAGGCGCGTGCATTTGGCTTACCTGTTAATAGCCGATAGAGAGTATAATGACAGTAATGATCCCAAAACATAATTTAAGTTATTTAAGCAACAGTATTCTTGATATATAGGACGCATGACTTATTGAATTATTCGTATTAAGATATAGTCAAATTCCTTGAGAAACAAGAATGATATCTGCTTTCTCATTTAGAATACCAAAGCCGCTACTTGTATTAATTATTCCTTTGAATTTAGTATTAATATTTGGAATAATAGTTTATATTGCTGAAATACCTACAAGTGACTATGTGGATAGAGACATGATCAATCTGGGATTTAGACAACTCACCGAGAAGTTTGATTTTGGATATTTGAATCAGAATGTTTCGGACAGCGATTTGCAAAATGTTGATACGTACAGCAAATATGGTTATAAAATAAGACCTAATAATGTAAAATTTAAGTTTGTGAACCCAAAAATAAGATAGGTAATCCAGAGACTATCCTTAAAAAGAATAAGGAAACCTTTGATAAGGTAATGGCACAGGAAATCCATGAACCAAAGGATGTGGATATCGAGAGCATAAGGCCGCCATCTAAAAAAGAGGTAGATAAATATCAGCATGCAAATGCTACAATAATTGCATTGGTACGTAATAATGAAGCTCTGGCTATATCTAAAACCATCAGAAGATTAGAAACAAGTTTTAACTCCAAGTTCAGGTATCCATATACGTTCATTAACGACGAGCCATTTACTGAGAGGTTCATGCAGCGAATGCAGAAATTAAGTGATGCCCCTATGGAGTTTGTTACAATTCCAAAAGAATTATGGAAGAAGCCATCCCATATTGATGAAGAACGCGAGGAGAAGGCTATGCAGATTTTGTCCGATCAGCGGGTTTCGTATGCAAAAAAAGGATCTTATCATAATATGTGTCGGTTTTACCTGGGTAATTTTTATAATGTTCCAGAATTAAAGAAATACCAATATTATTGGCGTATTGAACCAAATGTTCAGTTCTACAATGATTTGAAATACGACGTGTTTAAATATATGGAAGCGACTAAGAAAGTTTATGGTTTTGCAATTAACCTCTACGATATTTCGGAAACCGTTGTATCATTGTGGCCAGAGACTTTGAAGTTTTTGAATAAGGAGGATAATTATAAATATGTAAACCCAAATGGTGCATTTCAGTGGCTTTTAGAGAACCAACAGAATCCCAAGAATAACAAAAAGGCGAATGGGTATTCTACATGTCATTTCTGGTCCAATTTCGAAATTGGTGACATGGATTTTTTCCGTGGTGATGCATACAATAACTGGTTTAAACATTTGGATTCTACCGGGAATTTCTATTATGAACGTTGGGGAGATGCGCCTGTACATTCTATGGGGTTGGCATTATTTGCCGATACCAAGGATATCCACTGGTTTAGAGATATAGGATATTTCCACGACCCATATGTCAATTGCCCTAATTCTCCTAATACAATTGGCTGCGAAACTGGCCAATTTAGTAGATGGGGCCACTTGTCAGATCAAAATTGTATGGCAAGTTGGATTGATTATAGTATGGAAGATCCGAGTGCAATATATTAGCAAAATATCAAATTTTGTTGCATTCAAGCTACTACTATTGCAAAATCTATTCGGGTGTTATATCCGAGGTTGTATATTTATTTATCTATATTTAGCTGAATAATTTATAGAAGACATAGCTAAATTTTATAACTATTAATTAGAACCAAAATTATCCTAAAATTCAAAATAATTTATCATGGCAAATATTATTAGACTATTTGATTCACTTACTTGAGGTCGAAGACCTACGTATGTAGTTATTTACCTTCTCATCCATAATCTCGGTTATCTTAATATACAGAGGGTTATGTCTAATTTTATCACACCAAGCAGCAAGGTTTGGGTATTTCTTATACAAATCTCCTTTTTCTCCGGTAATGTCCTTAATCTGCACTTCGTTATCAAACACGTTCTCGTATATAGGGAAACTGAGGATAATATCCGCTCCAGTCAAACTATCTCCTACAAAATAACCTGTTCCTTCTTTTGCTAGCTGATCCTCCAAGTACTGCATATTCAATCTCCATTCATGAACATAGTAGCCATTATTTATTCCCTTAGTTACTAACTTGACCACACTTTTCGTCCCGAATGGGGCAATACTCTTTGCTACCGAATTGATCAATAATGCTATCGTGATATGTTGTAGAGTTCCCTCGGAATAATGCAAGTAATAATCTACTTTAATTTGTTGATTAGGGTCAGTTGGAGTCAATAAATTGTCGTGGTCATAATTCTTCAATAAATATTGCATAATAAATCCACTTTCCGCTAACTTTAACGATTCTCTCCCATCTCCAAATATAATCTCAAGTATTGGAGATTTCCCCGACGGATGTACTTTAAATAATGAAGATGGACCTCTCCAAGTAGTTGGATGACGAAGATAGGTTTTGATTTCATAATCTAATCCCAAAAGTTCTAATAGCCATAGTATTCTATGTGCTCTGGATTGATCAAGCCTAAAATAAAGTTAGCATATTATTCAAACATTCCAAATGTATATTATGCATATAACTTACCAATGCAAGACGAATTTATCACCATGGTCACCTAATGACATTGTTGTTGCACAATAGAACAGAAATGGTATTTGGTGCCATGATAGACGAATATATTTATATCAAAAAAAAATTGCGGGGTAGTCTCATTCTATATCGTGAACAGTAGTACCAAATTATTTACGAAGATAAGGCTTGTGAAATTCATATTAATTAATCATTTTATAGAAACACATAAATAATTATAAAACCTGTATATTTAAGCTATATTCTTAAACGAACACAGTTGTTTAGCTTACAACTTTGAGACACCAGCCTTGGCATCAATAATTTCATTAGCCTTGAGCAATTTAGGTTCTTTACTAATAGTATCAGACCAGGCCTTCAAGGTTGGATACTTGGCGACAACATCAATTTTGCCACCAGTCATAGCCTTTGTTCTTTCGAGATCACCAAAAACGTTATCGTATATTGGGAAACTCAAAATTATATCGGCTCCGGTCAATTTGTTTCCTACAAAGAACTTCCCTTTGTTCTTTTTCAAGTTATTTTCCAAAAAGTCAAGGGATTTCATTAACTCTGGCCCGTAATATAAAGCATTGATTTGCAGAACAACTTTGTTGACCAAAAACCCGGCCCCGAATGGTGCCATTTTCTTGGCCATGTTGTTGACTAACAACGACACCAAGAATGGTTGAAGACTGCCCTCGGCAAATTGCAAGTAGTAGTTGACCAATTCTTTATCATCTTCATTATCAGGAACTAAGATTTGCTCTGTATCGTAATGTCTGATCAAATAGTCGATCATAAATCCTGTTTCGGCTAAAATGATAGGTGAAGATCTTCCAGGCTTGATGATCTCGATAACAGGCGATTTTCCTAATGGGTGAACTTTGTTCAACTCTGGTGGTGCACGGTAATCCTTGGTTCTTCTGTATACCTTTAAGTCATATTCAAGGTTCAACTCTTCTAATAACCATAAAATTCTGTGAGATCTTGACTTTTCAAGCCTTAAATAGTTAGTATGCGACACCTATAAGCTTGAATAGTACTAATAATTTTGACACATACCAATGGAAAATAATTTTATCTTGTTGGGACATATTAAAGTGATCAATTAACTGACGTGTTTGGTATTAAAAGGAAAACTAGACGTTAATATTTGCTCTGTCTATTTATACCCATGATTGCAATTGCTTATGATAATGTACTTTATCACAAACACGACCTTGCAGCTAGATTTTTTTTTTTAGTACAAGAGATGCCGCTACAGTAAATTATTGCAATATAGTTAAAGCAAGCATTATGAGTGAACTTAATGGAGTCGTAGACGGTAACAAGAAGATAAAGACCTTAGTGTTCGATGCTGGTCCATTAATTACGCAAACAGCATCTTCGTTACAACAATACGCATATAACTATTATACCACTCCCGGTGTACATAGTGAATTGAAGGATGACAATGTTAGACAGCAGTTATTGATCTGGGACGACAAGCTTCAAGTGAGACAACCTAAACCACAATACATTCAGAAAGTGGTAAGTTTTGCGAAATTAACAGGGGATTACGCTGTTTTGTCGACAAATGATTTGCATATCATCGCATTAGCGTATGAGTTAGAATGTGAAGCAAATAATGGGGACTGGAGACTTAGAAAGTATCCAGGGGAGGTTTTAGAGCATCAAAAGAAAGTAGACCTGAAACATGGGACGAAACCAGAAGTAGAGCTTAAGGATCAATCTGAAAAAATTTCTAGCACCGAAAAAATCGATTCGAAGTCAGTACCTGAACAAGAGGAATCGACACAAACTGCTGAGGTCGGTAAGAAGAAGCCACGCCGTAGAGGAGGTAAGAAGCAAAGAGCAAAAAGAGAAGCGCAGTTACAAAAAGAATTAGACGAAGTACATGTGGAGGATGATGATGAAGTTGCACCTACTGTCTCAACCGATCAAACACAAGATTGCAGCAACGATTCTGTGATTCCAGACGTTACTGTTTCAGAAGAATCCCCTAAGGCAGAGCCAACAGAATATGCCAGTGAAAAACAAGAATTGGATGAAGCTTACGATGAGGAAGATGATGATGGGGACTGGATCACACCAGAAAACTTACAAGAGGAAATGGTAAAAGATAATAATGAACAGATTCAAGAAGCATCTTCTTCAGAAAAGCTGGGACCATTCATTAAAGTTGCATTATCGACTGGTGATTTTGCATGTCAAAATGTTGCAATGCAAATTGGTCTTAATTTAATGAATGCTATGTCTGGTAAGCAAATAAGAAGAGTCCGTAATTATATGTACCGTTGTTATGCTTGCTTCCGTTTAACACCTATCCCTAAAAGTGGAAAGCCAAAACATTTCTGCCCAAAGTGTGGTGGTAATACTTTATTGAGATGTGCCGTTTCTATCGATACCACCACTGGTAAAGTCACCCCTCATTTGAAAGCAAATTTCCAGTGGTTTAAGAGAGGTGATAGATATACTTTGCCTTCTCCATTGTCTAAGAATCAACAAAGATTGCAAGGAAAGGCTGGTTACCAGCATAATAAACAAAACCGTCATAAGACTTTACAGGAACCTCTTATCTTGAGAGAAGATCAAAAAGAATACGATCAAGCTGTTAAGAATGATGAGTGGCAGAGGAGACAAAATGATAAGATGTTGCAACAATGGATTGGCGGTGGTAGTGCTGATAACTACGTCTCTCCATTTACTACATTACAAAATATAAGACCGTCGGGCGTGAAAGTTGGAAAAGGCCGTTTTGTCAATTCTTCAAAGGGAAAGAGAAGCTGATTTACATAGCTCTTACGTTTATATACTTGACGTAATAGAATAATATATATAATCTTGTAAATATCACTATAAATACTTTAGGCAAGCATTACATCCCTCATAACAGAAATCATTTGATAATCGCACACCTGACAAGTAACCTTCTACACTGCCTAGAAGATAACCTATATCATCTAGGGTAATTTCTCTTGAATTGTTCAAAGAAATAGCACTTTATGAGTAATTATGGCTTCTAATAACTCTACAAGTCAGTTAGCGGCGTTGGCAGCGTTCAATGCAACTAATAATAAAAAAAAGGAAGAGCCGCAACCTAGCAGATCCAGAGTACCATTAAAAGTTGACACTACAGCACCATCTCAAACACAAAAAAAGGCATTAGACTCGGCTACGAGGGCGAAATCTAGTAACCAGATAGCTCATGTTCAAACAGATAAAAGTAAGGGTCATCCATTAGATAGAAATGACCTAAAAACAACACCCACGAACCCAAATGTAACGAATACTTTCAAAGCGCCAAAAACACCAAGAACACCTCAAATTAGTAGGTCTGTCGAGACGCCTAATTCCGTAGGTGCAATAAAGAGAATGTCTACGTATAGCAATTCGTTTGCAGCTGAAAGTCTGGAAAACGATCCACCTAGAAATGATTATTTTGGCCAGCCTCTATCTACCCTTGAAAATCCTGAAAGACGCAAGACCATTTCACAGCAATCATTGAACTATGATCCCCAAGACATGATAAGAAATGTAAAAAATTCTATTGGCTCAAAATACATATCCAATGATTTATCGCCGGGTCAAGTCAATGTTAAGAGGTTATCGACCGGAACTCAGCCTAAAGATATGTTAGACCTGGTAAGAAACTCGATAAATTCGAAAGCTAAGAGCAACTCTAAGAGTCAGGAGATGTCACAGAGGAATGCTCTTTTATTGAGCGGAATAAGAGATAGTATTGATTCGAAAAGAATATCAAGCCATCATGATAATAGCACAGTATCATTGCCTCTAGCCGAAGAGAGGGATAAAATCATAAATTTGATATCTAAGAGTAACAATCCAGAAGAACAATTGCTACTATACGGTAAACCAATATACAATTACTCTTCCTCTTCATTTGGTTCATCGTTTCTGGAACACGACAATGACCAATTGCGTACTCCAGTGATTGTCAGAACTGATATGGATCTTCCTGATCCTGAGGGTAATGCTTCAATACAATACGATGAACGTGAAAATTATTCCCATGGAGAGGACGACATTGAATATAATGATACTTCTGATACTAAGATAGAAGAGAAAGAAGTTTCACCCATTAATATCCCATTATCACTGCATGCTTGCGCTAGATTAGGTATTGGAAATAATGAAACTTCAAATACTTTTATGAATCTAAAGATTCAAACTCCTGATAAAGATGATTCATCTAAACTTAAACCTAAAAGAAAGCCTCCTCCAGATATGGATGCCGAATATGCATCTCCAACATTTACAGAACAAAGCGATGATTATCAGACTGATGGAGATGACCAGTTTTCTGATACTTCTAGTAATCAGATACGAAGAAGAAGTATGCAATATAACGATTATAGTAGATTTTCTGATACGTCTAGCAGATCACAAATTAAGATAAATGATGATAGTGACTATTCATATTTTGATGAGAGTGATTTGAGTGGATCTGAGACTCCAAGTATGGAGAAATTAGACAATGATAAATTGATTGGAGATGACAAGCTTCCGATTTTTCCAGATATCAAGGCGAAATCCAGGAAACTTTTTAGACATAAAAAATCTAAACCCATTTATTATCTGGATGACCCTGATACATCAAAATCTGATCTACAATCGGCTACTGAGGAGCTTAAAAATATAGCAATTCCTTCAAGAACATCAACTCCTGTTATGGGCCACCAGCCACAACCGGTTCAATTAAAGGCAACAATGAGGACAAGTAAAAAGAGAGAAAAGAAATACTCTTTCAATGAAAATAAACCGTGGAAAAACCACAACGAGTTATCATTTATCACAGAGCTGGAAAGAAAGAGATACGAAGGTCTATGGACGAGTAACAAAGGATTGTATGTCAATTCTGCAGTTACTAGATTCATAGGTGTGGATTATAATGGTAAACCTGATATCGAGCAGCAAATCGAAAACCAAGATCCATCTACCGCGGCAGCTTTGTTATCATCCAGAGCTACAAACGAGGATAATCCTACTACCGTCCATCAAAATTTCCACAATTTATTATCGGCAGAAACATCCCAATTAATTCATGGAGTTGTGGTAAGAAGAATTTGGAAAAGAAGCAGATTACCTAAACAGACTCTTGAAGCTATCTGGGATTTGGTTGATTTTAGGAAAGATGGGACATTGAACAGGCCAGAATTCCTAGTAGGAATGTGGTTAGTAGATCAATGTCTTTATGGTAGGAAATTGCCAAAAAAGGTGGATAACACAGTATGGAATAGTCTTGGGAACGTTGGATTAAATGTGGTATTGAAGAAGAAAGGAAGACGATAAGATTGAATCTGTATTAGTATAAAAATTTATAGACTTAATAGATTACAGAACTCTTTTCGAATGCTCCATCAATATAAGGAACTTGTTCAGAAGAACGTAAATAATAATTACACGAATTTGAGCGCACAAATTATTTTGATAGATACATTTCACTAAGGTTAGAGAATAGAGATATTAAACTCAAAATGAATCTCATGGATATGCTCTCGGGGGAGGCACGAGATGATATCTACCAGACTAGTGACATGCAATTAGTATTAGATGAGAATGATCCATTAACTGAATCTACGAATATTGTTATTACCCAACCTGAAAATGGTGTATACTATTTACCTTCTGTCCTCACTCAATTACAAAAGGATTTAATGGAGACTGTACTTCATATATTTAGCTTAGATTTGCTTGATGAAATTCGTACAAAAAGAGAAAGGAGTAGTATAAATAGTTTGCTCGATAATACAGTACCTGAATTCGATGCAATGAATGATACGAATAATGAATCTATGAATAAATATGATAAAGTAAGCCTATTATTTGAACAACTAAGACTCATAACAAAACATCCATCTTTATTAGTTGATCATTTTATGCCTAAGAAGTTATTGTTACTGGAAGTCAATGAAAGATTGGCAAGTTTATCAGGAAAATTTCAATTATTTAATAGACTTCTTGATTCATTTATTGATAACAATAGTCTGAACCACAAAAGTATAAACATTGGTGATAAAGATTTTCATATATTGGTTGTAGCGGAAAGCGTCAAGGAATTAGAGCTTATAGAAGGGTTAATTATTGGAAAGAAGTTGCATTACAACAATTTGAGTAGTGAAAAACTATACAACGATAATAGCGGGAAGCAAAAGTTTAAGCGGGAAGTAGATAATATAGATGATGATTCTCGCAGAAAAAGGAAGCACCACTCATCAGCAACACATACAAAGAAAAATGGCCATTCACTTTGTTTATCATTAGCAACATCACAACAATTGTACAATAATTACTCAGGTTCGTTTGAGAATCTGCAAATTAATCTAATATTTTCATTTGATTCAAACATTGATACTCAAAGTCCTAGTATGGGACTCATAAGGTCCAACAATTTGCCAAACAGACCAGACACATTATTGGGATCTGATTCGATTACGCTAAAAACTCCTATTTTTATACCAATATTAAATTTTTCAATCGAACATATAATACTTCAAATGCCACAGAAGAAGGGTAATAATAATTTCAACTTGAATAATAATACCACTAATAGCCCAATTTATAAATGGAAACTTCAAGTGTTGAACTCCTTTGCTGTTAATAGACGCGAAGCATACGAGGATAATGATCATGACTTCTTTTTAGAAAATTATGGTAGTAATATGTCATTATTGTCTGAATGGTTTTATAAATGGGATATTATGAGATTTCCGTTCGAAGATAACAATGCATTGACGAAATTTAATGATAGATTGAAATTGAACTTTACTGATGATCAACTAGCGAGGGAGCTTCAAGTTAATTATTTGTATAAATTTGGCTATTTCATTGAGGACCTACACAAAGATGACATGGAAGTTGATGAAAGCGTAAATAAAATGAAAATTGATCACGAACATTACAAACTAGAAGTATTTAACTACAAAACGTTCAAATCAAAATTTGCTCTGCTCATATACGACCGCGTATGCCAGATTGAACGAGCAATTGATATAAAGCATAAGAAAGTGTTGCCTTCATTGAGACTAGCTGAAAGCTTGAGACAGTCAACAATCGATGAAGATGAGGATGCCATTAGTAATAACTATAGAAAATTAAGAAAATTAAATGACGAGGCAAATCTTGCTGACAAGAAGATGAGTAGAGCTGAATCTGACACGGAAAAGTTTCAAGAACACAAATTGCAACTGGAATTTAAGGTTCAATTCTTGCGTAATAACTTGGTAGACGAAATTAGAGCGGAGGAAGAGTTAGTTAAGACATTATCTTCACAAGAAAAGCTAATTGAGGAATTGAATAAAGAATTAGAAAATACAACCTCAGAGTATGAAAGGTTATGCGAAGAGAATAATGCAATGAGTGTAAAGTATCAGAATAGTTCTGCGGATGCGGTTCAATTATCTTCTAAATTAGTAGTTCTAAAAGATGCAAACACCAAATTAGAAGGAAAATTAAATGGTGCTGGTATACAGCTATTACCTTCGTTAATAAATAAGGATGAGCTTATAAATCATGAGGTGGAGTTGAATAAATTGAAGAAGGAGAACGAATTCATTTTACGTTTCTTCGATGAAAAACTAGACAAGTTAATTAAGGAAAGAACCTCATTAATGGAAAGTACGTCCAATGGCTCTAGTAGCAGGCCTACTAATAGAATAAGTAGAGCCTCTACGCCATTTTGAATATTTTTTATTTACTCAAATAAATAAATCGGTTGAATTGGTCCGAACTCACCGAGCTATATAAATTCGTTTTGTAATATCCCGTAAATTGTTATATATGTCTACAATTAAACACGTACATATTAATTCGACTCTCTGAGATGGTCCAAATGCCAGCACTATTTGAAACTGATTGGTTCTTAAACAGCAAGATGTATGGAACTCCATACATGCCAAAAACAGTTCATGAATTTGTGTATTTAGCAGAAATCAATGCATTCTTTATCTACAACAAATTGAGAGAATATATCAGCACCAATTATATGAATACATATTCTGGCGTATGGGGATACTTAAGTATTTTGCGAGATGTCATACTTATCTGTTGGATATATCTGTATTTAAGCCGAATAGTTGTTTTTGTTAAAGGTCATGGGATAGTTGCTTCCATTAGAATACTTATCCACGCCTTAAGTAAAAGAAGCTTCAAGTTTTTCCTTTCAATCCCACCTATAAGGAAGAAGATTGATAACGAACTCTCGAAAACCATCAAGAAGATTGAAGAGGAATTGATGCAAAACGATGAAACCCTATTGCAATTTGAATCGTTACCAGAAGAGGGATTAGATACTGCAATCATTACAAAAGAGTTAGACAAGTTACAAGAATTGAAACACTCTGATTGGAACAACGGTAGAGTAAGTGGAGCTGTATATCACGGAGGAGATGAATTGTTGGAGTTACAATCAGATGCGTACAAGAAGTATTCTATTGCTAATCAGTTACACCCAGATGTATTTCCAGGTGTTCGTAAAATGGAATCGGAAATTGTCTCTATGGTTTTACGCTTATTTAATGCACCAGATGAAGGTTGTGGATCTACTACATCGGGGGGTACCGAGTCATTATTATTAGCTGGTTTAGCTGCAAGGGAATATGGAAAGTGTTATAGAAATATTTCAAAACCTGAAGTTATTGCACCGGTAACTATACATGCTGGAATTGAAAAGGCTTGCTATTATTTTGGTATGAAGTTGCATAAGGTTGAATTGGATCCAGTCACTTTTAAGGTTAATGTTAAGAAGGTAAAGAAGCTAATCAACGGAAATACTGTTTTATTAGTTGGATCAGCACCAAATTTCCCGCATGGTATTATTGACGATATTGAAGCATTATCTGACTTAGCAGTCAAATATAAAATCCCATTACATGTTGATGCTTGTCTTGGCTCATTTATTGTCACATTTTTAGAGAAATCAAAAGTTCATGGTAATAAGCCAATTCCAAAGTTTGACTTTAGATTACCTGGGGTTTCTTCAATTTCATGTGATACACATAAGTACGGGTTTGCTCCAAAAGGGTCTTCCATCATAATGTACCGTAACTCTAAATTACGTGAATGTCAATATTATATTCTGACTGATTGGACAGGTGGTATGTACGGATCACCTACTTTAGCCGGCTCAAGACCTGGGGCGCTTATGGTTGGTTGCTGGGCAACTTTGGTTAACTTTGGTGAAGACAAATATGCCGAGTCGTGCCGTGAAATTGTGGGAGCTTCGATGAAATTGAAGAGCGCCATCAAAGAACACGAGGTGCTAAGTAACTACCTAGAGGTTATTGGAGATCCTATTGGTTCAGTGATTGCATTTAGGGTAACAGAAAAATATAGAGATACACTCAGTATCTATAAAATTGGCGAGTCTTTGAGTTCTAAAGGTTGGCACTTTTCTACATTACAGAATCCTGCCTCTTTGCACTTTGCATTTACTAGATTAACCGTTCCAGTTATCGGAGAATTAATTTATGATCTTGTAGAAGTGACAAATGCCTCCCTTGAGGATGAATCGAGTTCAGAGGGTGAAATTGCTGCCTTATATGGTGTTGCAGGAAGTGTCAAGACTACGGGAGTGGCAGAAAGAGTTGTAGTTGCATTCCTAGATACCTTGTATAAAATATGATATAATGAATGATTAACCTTATATATGCGAATGATAACAGTTTGCTTTTGATAAGCTTGCTTTTCTGTATAAGCTATGACTTAGCTGTTCAAATCTCTAGTTGGTCAATTCTGATATATGTCTTAATTGGGTAATCAGATGTTTTTTTTACCGCGGTGATGAATCATACTGATAACATATAATGACTAAGGCTACTATCAATTTTTGCTTTATAGCTTTTTAATATATATTCCTATAGATCCTATTATAGACAATTAAAGGACAAAGGTGTAATTTAATAATAGAGAGAATGCTTACATGTTCTCAGTTTTCGTTCATATCAAGTTCCTTGAGCATATTATCATTATCATGTTGGGTATGGGCACAATTACCTCAAATTTATTGTAATTATAGAAACAAGTCGGCCGAAGGAATATCGCCTCTGTTTCTATTATTATGGTTCATGGGAGATTTCTTGAGTTTTACAAGCTGCTTACTCAACGATGTTGTTTTGAAATTCCAAGTTTACTTGAGTTTGTTTTTCTTGTGCAATGATATTATGTTGTGTTACCAATATTATTACTATAATAGTGTATATCCAAGAAAGTATGGTAATATTGAGAACTTGAATACAGATGATGCCGATAAAGGTGAGGGGCCTATGTTTAAGGAGGAAGGCATGAAATCATTTGCGGATGACCAAGTTAGGGCTAACAATACATCTGTACATACAACGGCTAATGCTATACATATTAGAAGTCTGAACTCCAATTTTAATAATAAGGCACCATCACATACATTAGTGCAGTCCATATCGTCATCATCATCGAATAATAATAGTTATAGTTCAATCAACGATAACCAACAATATTTGAAATCTATAGCTATTGGATCAATAATAAATGCATCCGTGACTGCGGCAATGCCGGTTTCAATGGAAAAATTGGCTAAAGATACACTGATTTCTTCAGCAATAAACAAAGAAGCATTGGGCATATTTTTAGCTTGGAGTTGCACATGCGTTTATGTCGCCTCTAGATGCCCTCAGTTATACAAGAATTACAAGAGAAAATCAGTGGATGGAATTTCTCCTATATTGTTTGGGTGTGCATTAATGGGAAACTTAACTTACACATTATCCATTTTAACAAGTTGTGAATTTATATATGATGATGCAAAATCTAGCTTTTTTGTCAAACAACTTCCATATATATTAGGAAGCTCAGGAACAGTTGTATTTGACTTTCTATACTTTTACCAAAGATTCTTGTACAAAGATACGGGAAGAAATACCACTGTCATGAGCATGGATGATTGGGATCATATAAACCATTCGGATAATAATCATGAAAATTCAGTCTTATTATAAACCATACCAAATTATTTATAAAGCCTTGGTCAATACTGGCCATATATACATAGAGTTGTATATCTATATATCATTTTGTATAATAGCTAGAAGAGATATAATAATATATCTATAGTCTTCATCACGTGAATATATTCAAAAATATTTTCCGGAGGTTTCTGAAAAATTATGATGTCAAGCTTATCATTTTTAATGATCTTCAGCCATTTACTACCTTCATCATTGCAATATAAAACCTGGCCAAGTTACATATGAATAGTTTGAAGCGAGTTGGAAGGTTTGGCTGTTCGATACGAAGGAATGCGCTGATAAATAATTTGCGCCATCTAGCTACTTCACAGAGTATTGTCAATCATGCTCTAAATGACCAGCACATAAGTGTATCAAAAGCAAGAATAAGGCCTAATATATTCACTAGTAGGAGTACTGGGAATTCTATAAAGTATGTGGACTTGCCAATGGATACATATCCTAATCCATTATTTAATATGAGTAAGGATGAAATACTAGAATTGAATAGTCAAAGCTACTTGCATTTATTAAATATACCATATAGATCAATATCGGAAACAGACAAGTTTTGTCTAAGCATAATAGAAATAGCTAATGAGTTTATAATACTGGATACTAAGAAAGTGACGAAGTTGTTGATCAACATCAAAGATACAGATATGGCAAGTATAATAACGAGCACCTTGAGAAAATACTTCATAAATGATAGAGTTAAGAGTTCGATATTAGAATTTATGGATTCACCTATTAGTGACAACTTTCGTGAGGGATTCTTTAATAATATATCGCATATACTAGAGTTACAAGATAAAGGTGATGATCAAAAATCAGAAATTTTGTTAAGCTATTTAAATAAGCTAGCCTTAGTTGGTAGTGTTAACAAAAGACCACTTATTCTTAACAAAAATTTTTATGACAAAATAATTTCAGTAGTTCCAGAGTCCCGTTATGCAGAATTTTATTCATATTTGCTTAATTTGAACATACAAACATATGCCACGCAGCAACTTGATAGCCTAAAATACAAATTGATAATGGGATCAAATTTGGAGAAATTTGTTGTTAGAACTGGCTGGATGAATTCAAAATGGCATGATGTCCAAAGGCCCGACTTCGATAGTATTCATCAAGAAAAAATGATACAGTTTTTCTCAATAAAGGATTTGAAAATGTTCGCTTTATTTGCAATTAAAAAAGAGGATATAGTTGATGCTACCTTATATTTGAATTTAATTGTATCGAAGTTTGAAGGGAAATGTAAGCAAAGAATGGAATCTGACTTTACCCCTGGCCTGATACAAACGACATTACAGGCTGATATCCAATCTGTTCTAAATGTTATCCTTAGCTACATTATGGCATTTAAAGGCTCTCAAAGTTGCATAAAAGTATTAAAGTATATGGTAAAAAATCATTTAGACGTTAAATTTGAAAATCTTCTAACAATTATGAACAACCTACGTGATCAAGGCTACTTTCAAGAAGCTCTCTTGCTTATGAATAATATTGATTTAAAAAGTTTAAACAATACTCAGTTATTAAATTTAATAGAGGAAATTTTAAAATTAATCAAAGAAAAATACCCAACGTCACCAAAAATTCTCATTGGGTATGTTAGCTCAATGTTTAGTGGAAAAACAGAAAACCTTGAGGATAATATGGGTCTTTCACTCTTGGACGATCTTAATTTACTTTCAGTCGTTTATTCTGGTGGAGAAATAGGTAAACTTTCTCAATCATTATCTATAGTTCAAAAAGCCAATGTTGATGATAGTTTAACGGGCTTTGAATTCACTGCTAACGGATTAACGCATGTATATGAAATTATACTAAATTCGCTTCCAAGTTCTCAGATAACACCTAATTATATTCTTAAATTATATGAAGCATATATACTGATGATCATGATTTCAAAAGATTCAACAATGAATATTGAAGGAGGAAATCAACTGTATGTTTTTTATGAAAATAATTTGAACGATCACGTTATCACCATATTCATGAAGTATCTCTTAAAGTTGAATCCTACCTCAGCAGATATGGATTTGGTTACCTCAGAAGCTAATTTCGAAGCTGCCAAATACATAATAGACGATTTCCTCTCCAAAGTCGACTTAAAGAGAAGTAATCGGTCCGTTTATTTGTTTGACTTACTCATTTATTCAAGTTTACTCGTTCACCAAGACTACAAATTTGCATCAAAGATGATACGAGCCTCCCGTTCGTATGGTCTTCCATTCTCATTTAACCAAATATATCCTTTCATTATGTTTCATTATTATAGAAATGAATACAAGCAAGCTGAATTATGGTATCGTGAACTAGTTAAACATGGGGTGAGATCTAAGGCTACTCCTACAAAAAACCTCTTCAAAATTGCCCGTGAATTAAATTGGGATGTCTCAGGTTTTGTATACCGTAAATTTGGTATCCATAAAAATTATAGGAAACGGGAGGAATTGGCAAAACTTCAAAGAGACCCTGTTTTATTTATAGAAGATAATCAAGTTGAAGATGAAGTTACTGAAGAATTAATTGATGTCCCATCGAATCATCATAATGATTTCAACTTTAGTGATGAATTAACTTCTATTCTCCACCAAGCTGACCTTATAAAAGGATCTTAAATATCCTTTATTTATACTTGCATTATTAAGAAGCTAATATGAGCTTTTATATATATAGCTAATCGTATTAAATGAATTGCGAAATTCTGCATATAAACACTTTACATATTTGTTGATGTTTAGTCCGAAAACAGTAAGTTAATTCTTGCATCAGCCAAAATTTTTGCAAATACACAAAATACAATTAAACAGCTTATCATTCCAAAACAAAGCAAAATCAGAGGAATTGATTGATATAACTAACATTTACTCAAATAATTAAGAGAGTGGATGAATTTAAAAAGGAAATAAAGTTTGCTATACCGATATAAAAAATAACAGTGAAGATCGCAATTTTGAACATAGAATAGGATATAAGGATGAGCTTTTTAGAAAGCACAAATCATCATATACTTCCAGAGTATAGTAATGGACAAAACACGAATGTAAATCATTGGAAAAATGCAAATATGAATGAGAGTATGATAGACTTAAATGAAGAATTGCCTATTCAGACACCTAGTAAGCCAGTTTCTAGGATGCCTTCTAAAGTGCACGACAAAAACATCCAGGGGAATGTAGAAGAGATGATGGATTGTGAATCAACTTTGGCGGCGGACTCACAGGATGCTGAGCGGAATGCAGATGATACTGCCATGACATTAAAAGATAGGCATTTGGATATCATTGCCATGAATGTTAATAATACTATTCAAGAGCTTAATAAGATATATAGCCAAATCGGTTATTCCACAACGGAAATATCAATAAAGAAGTCTGAAATATTTACAGTAATTGAAGATACCATAAGCAACTTCACTTCTAGTTTACAACGGGAGAAAAATAATATTGAAAACGAATGTGAATGGTTACGACAACAAATCCGAATAATATTGGCTATGGTTAATGATAATAATGGTGAAAAATCTCTATCGTTAATTGAAAGAGGCATAGTATTCAGCAATAGGGCAATGTACGAACAAGGATACAAGGATGATATACTAGCTAAGTTGGCCAATATACAAAATAGGAAACAAAATTTTTATGCAAATTCTCCGTTCAATATTACTTCTACTGGAATTCCACAAACAGATTTCTCATTTGAAAGTCAATACGAATATATGCTTAATAATATCCCCGAGTTATCGTTGTTGCAGCTTAAGAATAAATTGAATTCCACCTTTCTAGAAGTATTGAAGATTTTTATAAAGTGTTTCAAAAGATTAAATGATCAAACAATCATATACTTAGATTTACATGATGCAATCGGAGAATTCTATTCACCTGATGCTAAAGTAATGGTATTAAAAACTTTGCCAACGAGAGAAGAAGCAGAGCAACATAAGGCATTGATAGAACAATTTGAGTCGACTATTAAGTATCTCAAATTATCAAAGAAGGATTCTAAGGTTGAGCCAATAATGAATTTAAAGAGCAAAAACAATGATGAGTTTGCAGTAATAATATCCAGTCCTCGCAAAACAGATGCAAAAACCAATAACACGGCCCAAAATACGGTCAATAGCCATACAGAAAATACAGAATCGAATACCGAGAACCCAATGAATCAATTACGAGATTTAAACTATAAAATTGTGAGAGTGATACGAAGTTTGAAGTTCACGAAAATCACTAATGAATTTTTGTCTAGCATTCAGACAGAAATAGAACACTGTGAAATTGAATTTAATAATAGGAAGAATCAAATGAAACAAATAATAAATAAGTGCTTCGAACATATAACCATTTTGAATTTGAATGAAGAGCAGATCATTAATATTCAAAAGAAATGCGATATAACAAATGGTAAAAATGGCTCAACGGGCAGTGATGGATATTTTGACATAGAAACTCTCAAATTCATACAGACGAATCCCAAAGAGTTTGGTCTTAACGACAACCATTTAAACTTCGTGGGAAAATTTGGTGATGTATTGCAAAAGATTAGAGATGCGAAACAAATGAAATGGGACTATTATTTAACATCCTGCCAGTCTTTGTGGGCTAAATTAGGAGAAAGTAATGACTATATCTCCAATTTCTTGAATGCGAATAGTTCCTTGACAGATATTTCATTAATGAATTTCAAAATGGAATTAAATAGATTATACATGAGGCGGTCTGAATTCATTGAGAATTTTATAATTGACAGCAGAATGGAGATCGAAGAGTTATGGAATAAAATGCATTTTGCTGATGACCAAAGAAAATTCTTCAAACATTATAATTATGATGTTCATGATGATGATTTAGACAAGGAAACTGTTTTGAATGAACACGAGGAAGAGTTGACCCGATTAAAAAAGGAGTATGAATCTAAAGAAAATATTTTAAAAATGTATACCCAGCTAAATGATTTGATCAAAGATCAAAATTTCTTGAAAGATTCTTCTAAAGATTCATCTAGATTATTAAGTAAGAATTCATGTAAAATATTACTCAACGAAGAAAAGATAAGGAAAAAGATAATCAAGAATATGCCAAAATTGATTGAGAGCTTGAAAGCTGATGTTATCAAGTACAACCACGAGCAGTTGAATTGTGGGAATAAACCTTTCACAATAAATGGGGAGGACTTTTTTGAAAAGCTATTAATTATTGAAACAGAACAAATGAACCAAGGCACCAATAGAAGCTCAAGGAATAAGTTCCGTAATAATATGTCAGAGTCACCAAAAAAGACAAATAACTACACTCGATCGTCGCCATTAAAACCTACAGGTAGATCGCCAACGATACAGACTAAAGGCGGCCAAGCTACTTCTTCTATGAATAGGACGAAAGGACCTGCAACATATGCAAGAAAATCTCCTTTAAAGGTTTCGCCTTTGAGAAACCAGCAGGCAATTAAAAAGTCAATTAACAAGCACACTAAGCTGATTCCCCCAAGGTCATTTGGTACCATTCAACAGAATAGTAAATTTGCTCATGCAATAAATATGAGTTTGAGTAGTCATAGTGACTCGACATCAGTCTCGAGTCTCGAAAGTCCAATTAGAGCCGCTTCAAGAACAAACTCAAATATGACGAAATTTATGGATGCACATTTACAACCATTAAATTCACCCTTAACTTTCAATAACGACGAGACAACTCGAATATTTCATGACAACGATGACATCACGAACCATTCAAATATATCTAAGTTATCTCCATTAAGATTTAACACTTCGTTCAATATAGATAATGCTATTAACAATAGGTCCGAAAGAGCCGATTTTACACCAACACAAAAATATGGATTTATTGATAGTTCATATATTGATGACAGAGAGAACAAAGATATAAAGATGAATAAATATGCCTTATCTCCCATAAAGGTTATAGCCATAGACGAAGAAGATAAAGAGAATGAAGACGTGAATGCGAAAACTTCAAAGAATATGACTTGCGATAGTTCCACAATTATTGGAGATGACTATCAAGCATGGAGAGACGAAAGAATACGACAACTAAATAGCTTAGCTTAATAAGTAATTGTAATATACCCTGTATTATTATTTAATGAAGAGAAAGACTATTAAATTATTAAAGTAAAATTTATGCTGTCAATAGTAGACAACGATATGATTGTTTTCGTGAAAAGAATTAACTTCTTTTAAATGTGCGTCAAAATATATCTTTCTTATCGAATTGGGAATTCTAAAAGAACTTAGATCATTTTTGAACGGGTTTTGAAGCAAATTTAGTACTTCCAAACATGAAGGTAAGTCTATTACTATATTTTCTTCAATTAATATTTCATTTCCGCAAGCTATTAAGGTCTTTAAATTTCGAGGAAATTTTACATTTGATAAGCTTGTAATTGTGTTAAGTTGAATATCTATGTATTCAATCGTATCAGGAAATACAACACCTTCTAATGAAGTAATTTCATTACACGATAAATTTATGTATTTTAAGTTTGGTGGCAACCACAATGTATCCTTAGGTAATTGTACTATCATATTACAAATCAAGTCCAACGATCTAAGGCTGTCAGGATAGTTTAGACCTTCTATATTTTGCAAGTTGTTTGTACTTAGAAAAAGAGCATCTAAGTTTCTAAATGAGGATAAGGTATTGTGCAATAAATCAAGTATTTCGTTTTTCTCTGTATTGACATAGTTTTGCCCCTTTACTATGTTTAGCGTTGACAAATTATGTTGTAAATCCCCAGAACCTAATAATCTTTGAAGAAATTGGATCTCTAGCTTTTCTTTTTTTGGTGGATCTCTGTTACCGAGATCCATATACAACTCAAATTTTATAGCTCGCCTAAAATAATCACCATATTTCAGAAATGAATTACCAAAAACATTCATGAATGCCTCTTCTTCTCTTCGATTCTGATTATGAGGGTTGGCTGTAAAAGATAGGACAAACCTATGAGGCTTTATATGCTCATGTATAATGTTACTATTCGAAATTAATTCATAAAGCCTTCCTTCATCGACTACTTCATATGGCTTCTTATAATACCGGTTTTTTAAAAAAGAGCGGCTGGTTTGATTTCTGTATACAATAACCCTATCATAAATACTGGTATCGATTAATTTAGCTAAAATAGTACCGTTTGTTGTTATTTCTCGAACAATTAGGCATTCCGATACACTTAAGAATGAGAAGATTTGAATAATGATTTCATTCGGGAATCTTAAAATGTCTATATTTTTCTTAGATAGGACTTTACCAGGTTTGCTTGATTGTAGTTTTCGACGTTTAGTTAGTGGATTCATCACACAAGATATAAATAATAAATGATTGATTTAGAAGTAAATTGCGAGGAATTGCAACTTCGCATTTTGCAATTTTTTGTCTTACAAATAAATTTATTCATTAAATATTAAATAAGTTTCCTATAGACTATATACGATTTAAGTGTTGGTAGACTCTTCTTCAATAATTAAAGATTGTAGGGTTTCTGCTGTCTGGGATACAGAATTCTTATTTTCAGTATTATCTTCACCTTGACCACCATCATCTTCATCATCCTCATCCTCATCCTCATCTTCATCGTCGTCGTCGTCATCATCATCGTCATCGTCGTCATCATCATCGTCATCATCTTCATCATCTATAATTGCTTCTTCGTTATCATCTTTCTTCTCTTCAGCTTCATTATCATCTTCGTCTTCTTCATCTGGATAACCACCCAATTTTAAAACAATTCGATTGACTATCTCATTCCAATCCATCATACCACCCATTCCTATTTCACCATAACTCCCCACAACCTTCTCGACCGGTTTCAAAAATTCTATCCATGGCATCTCTTCCGAAATTAACCGTAACTGTCTCTTCGTAGTAACAGCATTATATGAAGCACTAACCATAGAAGGAGCTAGCAAAATAGGAAATGAAGTATTCCAAGCCCGTATAACGTTGGTTAGTAAATTATCGCATAAACCTAATGAAATCTTAGATAATGTGTTAGCTGTTAAAGGCGAGACGATTAAGATATCCGCCCAACGACGTAATTCAATATGCAAAACAGGATCCAGTCTTGTTTTCCAAGTATTCCATTCATCAGAATCTCTCCAAACACGGATCTTTTTATTGTTTTCTAAATGATGCAACACTTCCTGAGGAATAAAGTTTTCACTCGATTTAGTCAATATTATCTGAATTGATATTTTATCAGGCGTATATATCTCGATCAACTTATTTATTATTAGTTTAATTTTAATCGTAGATAAAGCACCACAAACACCTAATAATACATGTAATTTGCCATCATCTTGAGGAAGCCTTGGATCTATATTGCTATTTTGTTCATTAGGTCCAAGTACGCTGTCTATACTAGGAGGTGCAAATGAATTAGGATCATTTTTTTTATCCTTCTTAGAAGCATTCCTTGCGTTGTTGGATGGTAATGTAGTAGGCGGGTAGTCACTAGCAGAGCTACTTCTCGATCTACTTATGGCTTTTCCGGGTTTCACAGTCTCATCGACATAGAAATGAGCATGAACCGACGGGACCTTATGGTGAGTACTCTGTGATGGGGGATTTGACAAATAGTCTAAACTGGTCAAGGAATTATTGGACCCCGTAACATTAGATCCCGCTGGGGATGAAATTGGGCTTATATAATGATTGAAATTGACACTAGACCCCGGTTCCCGCACCTCAGGAACATTGAATGAAGGTTCTTGTACTTGCAGGGGTATTACTGATGTTGCACTCTGATTCGCTACCTTTTCCTTTTCTTTCAATACTACACCTCCTGCTGGGATCGTTTCTCTCTGCTGAGTAATATTTGGTGTGGACATCGACATTGGATTTGCCAGAATAGGTGATGGAGATACAGGTCTTTTCAAAGCGGCACTATTATTACCGTTATTTAATATAGGCGGTGGTGATGGACATCTTAAATTCGATATTGCTTTAACGAATGGAGGTGGATCTTGAGGGGTCGATGATGACTTCGGTTCGCTATCGGTATTTCGTTCCTTTTTAATTTCATTTGTTAACGATTCGGCATCTTTGCGATGTGGAGCAGGATTTTCTGAAACCATCTTGTAAAATGGCCCTTCAATTAGCTATTTATTCTCTGTTAAAGTTTACTAAAAACAGTTTTGTAATCAAACACCTTTTTCTTCGATTTAAAATTACTCGCTTATGTAATAGGTTGCGACGAGTTTAAAAGAATAAGGTACATTTGCAACTTATATATCTTGGGCAGATGATACTTAGATACATTGGATAATCATAAAGACTATAGATATATAATGTATAAGAGGTTAGACTTGAGACGTAAAGTATATGATATTTAAAAGAAAAAGTGGGAATTATAGGCAGAAAGTAAAGATTTTGTGCGTATGCTAGTTGAAAAGCCATTGGCTTAGTAATTATTGTTTGGTAACTTGCTAGCATATGCAATGGCTAGTATACTTAACGGAAAATTTAGATGTATGATTCTTATAAAACCGGTTATTATATAAGATTAATTGTTACAATTATTAGATAAAAGTTAATATACAGCTATACCAGCAAATTAATTTGATGATAACCCTAAAGATCTGAAGGAATTGACTAGTTCTCTTGCTTTTTCATCGTCACTCAAATGCAGTGTATCTTCACTCTTTCGAGGAGTCCTAGAGTTCTTAGGTTCAGTTGGAGGGTTTGAATTAGTTTTGTTTCTTGGTATGTCGTGGTGAGAAATGTTTGACAGAGGGTATTTGTGCGGCTGGGAATGTCCATATTCATTCAAGGGAGAGCTGGTATAGTTTGATGGTTGGGGAGGATGAGCATTAGGCACAATTGGAGCATACTGTGGATGGTTTGGAAAGGGGCCAGTGTAGTTCATGGCAGGATAATACATTGGGTTGTTGTAGTAAATAGGATAGGGCATATATCCATTAACCATAGATGGGTAGCCTGGATTACCATAATAGATTTTTTGTTGAAACAGGTTTCTTTCAAAAGCGAGGCTACTTATGGACGGTTCTTTGAAGTTGTTTCTATTATTATCAGTGTTCAATTGTTGCAAAATATAATTATTAAAATCTGGGAACTTGTCGTAGCGAACAGTCAATGACCTATTTTCGAATTCCACATTATCAAAATATTCGATTAGTTTATCCAGGGATTCCTTGTTTCCTGTGGTTACAATTGCGAAACCTCTGCTCAAACCCCTAGATGGTTGCGTATTTGAGTCTTCCATACGACCACCAACCGGATTATCAATATTTCCTGATAAAAACGAAGATAAGAATTGATAGCTGTTGAGCTTGTTCAAGTTAACATTAAGACCCGGATTTGGTATAGTACTTGAATTATGTTGAGATGTTAACAGTTGCATGGGTATTTCCACTCGTAAAATTAGTATATTATTTCCTGGCTCTATTTCTTCAGACTTCAGAACCAAGAAGTTTTTTAATGTGGTCCACGTAGAAGAGAATGGTATGTTTCCTATGAATAGTCTGCACGGATTGACCTTGATCGACTGCCCCTCATCATTCTTAACTACTATAAATTCGCTAGTTGCTGGAAGATTGCTATCATTGGTCACATCGGATTTACTACCATCAGAATCACTAGCATTTTCATTGACAAGATTTGTTATAAAAGATGGAAGCGGCCTTGATGAAGAAGTGCTATTTCTTGAATTCCTCCTAGAGTCACTAGATTTACTAGATCTTCTAGACATGTACGAACTAGGGTAACTGCTTTGCTGCGGCATCTGAAACATTTGTGCTGACTGTTGTGGTGAAGGAATGTAGTTGTAGTTCATAGGTGCAACAGGGGTATAAGGAAAGTTAGGATAGTAGCCACTATAATATGAATTATTCCTATCCAGTGATCCATAGCTTACGCTATCATACATATCATTTGTAATTATTTGAGCTTCCAAATGCTTCAGAAGCCATTCGTAGCCATTCATAAGTTCAATTAGTCTAGCTCCAAAGTCCCAATGCAGAATTTCAATTATTGCAAAACACCTTTGGTTATTATTTTGAACATTGCTATTATTAAATTCCACAATTTTATATTGGTTTAGTTGGGAAATGCTTTCATCAAAATTATTCATAATAATTGAGTCTAATAAGTTCTTCAAATGGGATTCATTTATATCTAATGGTAAGTTTGAAAATCTAACGAAATATGGATAATTGTATGAACTTGGATAAAATGGATTAGCATCTTTGTTGTATTCTGTATTTGAAACGTGGGTAGAATTTTCTCCATCACTCGAAGCCATATTCAAAGCTATTCAATTCTATATTCAATTTGTATATTATTATTAGCAGTTACGTCTTAGATAAGGGGCACTCTTTCTCATTTTAATTTTCTTATCAATCTTTTCAATTTTGTGATTGTTTAATTTTGCAGCTCTTGACCACAATTACATTCATACTAACGACAATAGTTATGTTACAATTACACTAGACACACTTCAAAGAATACTGAAAATCTTAGAATGAATACTATTCAAGACAATGAGAAAAGCTGTGAAAGAAAAAATGACGAATTAGAAACTCCGAAGGAAGATAACGTTGTCCCTCGAGTTACCTATTTGAGTATGTCAATTTTTTGTATTATAATAGCATTGTGTGGACTTCCAGTTGGTTGGGATATAGGAACAATTGGATTCATAATCAGTACTTCTACATTCAAAGAGACGTATGGTAATTCACTGGATGGTGAGACCAATATATCGTCTCTCATGGTTGGTATAATTATATCGAGCTTTAACTTGGGTTGCTTGATTGGATGTTTGGGCTTAAGCAAGTTAACTTCAAGAATTGGTTTCAAAGGTACTATATTTACAGGGAACTTCATTTATTTAGTTGGAACTGTTATTCAGATATTATCTGGATGGTTTCGATTGAACATATGGTTAATGATCCTAGGACGAGTTAACTGTGGTATTTGTTGTGGAGCATTATGTGTCCTTGCACCTAGGTATTTGAATCAGCTCATAATCGTTCCAAAAAAAGACATGTATTTATCTTTTTTCCAAACATCTATTTGCTTGGCCATACTTGGTGGAAACTTGACCAACTTCGTCATGAAGCATGATTATTTAAAGATATTGTCATGCCAATTGACGATCATTCTTATGACTTCTTGCTTGACAGTTTTTCTACCGGAATCCCACCATTATTACATCTCGAAAAATGAAATTGATAAAGCATTCATGGTAGTGAAAAAGCTTCATGTAAGAATTTCCGACGATCAAATAATAAAGTTAATTGATCAAGTTCCGACCATTACTACTCTTCCAAAAGGATGGATTAGAGACAAACAGTATTATAAACCATTGATTCAATGCTGTGTCATGATGATATTTCAACAATTAACTGGAATCAACTATTTCTTTTACTACGGTAGTCTCGTTTTCAGTTCTCTAGGTATAAATACAACGACAGTCAGCATAATCATGAGCGTTGTTAACTTGGTGGGCTCTTTAATGTCAAACATCATTATTGGCAAGTTCGGAAGAATACAACTCCTTCTTATGATTGGATCAGCCATTATGAGTTCTTTGCTTACCATCTACATGATCTTGGCGTACATATCTACACCCAGTTCCCTAACAGGAATGGTAATAATTACCTGCCTTTTTATTGCATCCTTCGCGACTACATGGGGACCCATACCTGGAATTATGGTCACCAGGATATCATGCAACAGTAATGATATAATTGGTCTCGCCAATTGTGTGAATTACACCGCGAACTGTCTCATCACTGTTGTTACACCCGTAATGATTAGTACCGTCGGATTTAATTTTTCACTCCTATTTATTGTCAGCCTCATTTCACTGGTCATCTACATATACTATATGTCAAGCTTATGACAATAATATTTGTAACTTGTCTGCTACTTGCTACAATCTTAGTAATCAAAGTATTTGGTATATATATATATATATATACGGCATCATCTTTTTGTCGGGGCTTGTGTTCCATAAATGTTATGAGGCGAATCCTCTATATAAAAGAATCGAAAACCGTTGAGCGTTATTTCCTAATTTATATATTTTGTAAATATGCAGACAGGCACATATCATTGATGTTGCTTCTAATTTAGCAAGATTGGCATAATTAGCCTCTATAATATGTCGAATACAGCATGACACACAGAAAGTGCTCTGTACAACATTTCAAATGGGGTTTCGATCGACCGCCCAAGTCGAGAAGATCGTAAATTAGGCTCGGAAAGGGGAACAGGGGGATGATTGGGCAACGGTCGTAAATTTTTCCATTGTTAATTTAGTAATCACTGCACTCAGAGTTCCATAATTGCTTATTGTGTACCGTAACTCTAACTACCTATGAAGGTAATATTTTTTAGTAGGTCAAGTTTAGACTAGAAATCGTTAATTTTCACTTGTGCCTATCCATTTAAGATTATTTTTATTGTTGAGCAACCAGAAGTCACTTATTGATACAAAATCGGTTAATATTAACCATTCGAGGTTGAAATTATATATTTAGCCTTCTTTATTTCTTGGGATTTTTTATGGTCCATTTTTCATTTTTCTAGTTATATAAGTCGGGATATATATTAATTTTTCAAATTTTGTACTTGCACTTAATGTCTTACAAAATTTAAGACTCCTAATTGAAAACGATAATACAGACGTAAAACCCGACAATTGCAGCACATAATTCAATGCCCTTTAAAGTTAATAAAAAACCTTCTTCCCCATTCACTTAATAAAATAGAAAGAAGCCATTAGACAAAGCGTAAAAGCGTAAAAGCTGAGACGTTGTATACTTATATAAGACTATTCTTACATGGCCAAGAACAGAAACCAGATAAAAAAAAGTAGAACAAGGTCTGGTTGTTTGACTTGTCGTGATCGGCATATGAAATGTGATGAACAGCAGCCGGTTTGTAATAATTGTATTAAGTCGAAAAGGAAATGTTTTCGGGGTATTAGATTGAACTTCACACAATACACCATATATGATCCTCCAAATAATCCATACCAGAACAATCTTAGTTATAGAATATTGGATCAATCAGTTACCATTGCATCCCTTTATGAAGATGGTAAGAAGCAATATGAATCATATGTACCATTTCACTCCTGGGAAGATTTAAGGGAGTCAGATATACAGTATCAGAAAGATATACATTGCTCAATACCATCAACAAACCTTTTAACAGATTCAAACGTTCAAGAAGCAGATGATGATCTGTGGATACACCAATACCAACCAACACCAAGGCAACTATCTCCTGAAACATTACGATTTGATAACAATTCTATTTCCGAAAACAGTGAGATAACCAACTTGTTAATGAATGATTCAACTTCTGTATCAGACGAAATAGAACAGCATCAATCAATCATTCAACAGCGGCAACTGCATCTCCAACAATCTATACCAGATATCAATGAATCTCGAGACATGCAAAATTCTGCATCAGATAGTGACATATCGTACAACGTTGGAGCAAAAGATTTTATCAACCTTGTCCAGCATCAAAAATACTATTGGTTTTTAGATTTATTTAACGAGCTAAGCATTTGGAAGCTGATTATACCAAATTATTGTTTAAAACTCACTGAGGTCGAGAATTCTGCAGATGAAAGTAATACCTTTTTAATCAATTGTTTACTTAATTGTTCGATACAAAATTCCATTAATTTTAATTCGATTTTAGAACAACAATTACAATATTGGCTTGTTTTAAGGCCATTACGCTTGACACCCGAAACTTTCTCTAAGTTCGAAAGACTATTAATATCAATAGTATTAATCTTGCTTAACTTGTTGACCAAATTACAGCATGGGATATTGCAATTTGATGATAGTAGCAAATTAATATTTAACAACCAGATCAAAATATTTAACCAATCCATTGAGAAGCTTCGTGATTTAAACGATGCAAAGCTTAGAAAAGTAAAATCAGTAGTATTAATCAGTGCTATTCATTCAATTTCAATTTTAAAGTTTTTTATAAACAACCAGTTTAAGCACAACAGAACTCGATTTGACGTCACCGACGAAATCTCATATAACCATACAAAATTAACAGCAGAATTCACTACTTTGAATCATTTTGAAATTATAAACATCAACTCATTTTACAAGAAGTTTGAATATCCTCAAATCAGCTATAATTTACAAGTTCAACCAAGTAGAACACCGGATACGAAATCAGATGCATTGAAACTAAGACAGTTCATCTGGTATCTTATAAAACTCAATTTTATTTTGAAAAATCCAACTAATTCATTAATAGAAATGGATTATAATTTCATATTTACAGATGAGAATACATTAGGGATTCCACCTTTAATGAAATCTCCCGAAGAACAACAAACAATCCTAGGTACAAACAACCAAGCGGAAGTACCTCCTGCATCATCAGCTAAAGCATCAAAGAAAAAAAGAAGAGTCGAACCAGTTCATTCGATTATTCTTCCAAACGACAAAGGCATAGCCATAATGATTTTGAGAGAATACATCAATAAGTTGATTAATTCTAACGATGAGGCTATCAAAGCCGGTTCTAACGAAAGTATCAAGTCAATTTTAGAGTCTATAAACAAGTCAATGATTGAACCAGAGATAAAACTTCTCTGGGACAGAAACTTTAGATGGACTTTGAACGATATTTAGTTGCATAATTTGTATATTAAGTCATTCTGCATCTTATAGATAATAAAAGTAGCTCTTTTATATGTTTATCATCAACTCACAAGATTTATCTATCACACTAGAATTAGAGTTAGTTTCGTATTAATTCTACCCAGAATATGCTATTGAATAGAGTAAAGTGTAGTAGAGAATTACCAATCATTGATTGTTTTGTAGGGATTTACGTTCAGGACTTTACCGGCGTTCCATGTTAAATTAGAACACACATTTTAAAAATTTACAAACGTAACATAGTTCGATACATTCGAACACGTTGACATACCCCCCCAAAGATTACATAGTAAAAAAACATCGACCTTTAATCCATGGCCTTATCTTCCCTAATACTTTAGAATAATATATTGGGATTACCCGGGGGAAGAGAATTTGACGACACACGACCATTCAATGAGAGAAAAAGTTTTTCAGTATCTCGTTGGATAAATCGATTCCTAGATTTGTATAAGAAGTAGATTATATCTAACAAACTCAATTGAAAATGTCATTAGGTACCTTATTTGGCGCTCAACAAATCCGTACTGTCCCAGCAAAGGCTTTAATTAAGCACTTTAACTTAGATGTTAAGGTTGTTGAAACCTTAGACAAGGCTTACGAAAAGAACTTCCCATTAGCTAAGATCCCATGTTTCGTTGGACCAAAGGGATTCAAGTTACAAGAAGTTATTGCTATTTCTATTTACTGTATGTATTTTCCATTAATGCTGCATGCAATTGAACGGTGTTTACGTGATGAGAAATTTTTTCATATTTATACAGTTATCCCTGTCTTAATACATTATGTCGAGAATATTATTCTGAAAATAAATTTAGTCAATTGCATTGCATGAAAAATAGTTGTGATTCAGTTCATAATACTAACCAATACTAGTGATCAACTCAGCAGACCCAGAATCTAAGTTATTAGGTAAGAACGCTAAAGAATACGCTGAAGTCTTAAAGTGGTTATCTTTAACTAACTTCGAATTATTACCAAACATTGCCAAGGTTTTCAAGCCATTGACCGGTAAGGCTCCTTACAACAAGAAGCAAGTCGATGAAGCTTCCGAATACGTCGACAAGGTTATTGAAATCTTCGAAGAAAGATTAGCTAACTACACTTACTTAGTTGGTGAAAGATTAACCTTCGCTGATATCTTCTCTGCTGCCCTCATTATCAGAGGTTACGACAACTTATTCGGTAGCGAATGGAGAAAGGCTCATCCAAACACCACCAGATGGTTCAAGACTATTGTCCAACACAAGATCTTACACGATGTTGTTGGTGACTACAAGTTCATTGAAAAGCCAGTTGAATACGTTCCACCAAAGAAGGAAAAGAAGCAAGCTCAACAACCAAAGAAGCAAGCTGCTCCAGCTGCTGCTGCTGCTGCCCCAGCTGACTCTTCCGATGCCCCAGCTCCAAAGCCAAAGCACCCATTAGAAGTCTTAGGTAAGCCATCCACCCCAATTGACGAATGGAAGAGATTCTACTCTAACGAAGAAACCAGAGAATCCGCCATCCCATGGTTCTGGAATAAATTTTACAACCCAGAAGAATGGAGTTTGTGGAAGGTTGACTACAAGTACAATGATGAATTAACCTTAACCTTCATGTCTAACAACTTGATCGGTGGTTTCTTCAACAGATTGTCTGCTTCTACTAAGTACATTTTCGGTTGTATGGTCGTCTACGGTGAAAACAACAACAATGGTATCACCGGTTTCTTCATGGTTAGAGGTCAAGATTACGCTCCAGCCTTCGATGTTGCTCCAGATTGGGAATCATACTCTTACACTAAGTTAGATAGTTCTAACGAACAAGACCAAAAGTTCGTCAACAACATGTTAGCATGGGATGAACCAGTTGTCGTTGACGGTGAATCCAAGGAAATCGCTGACGGTAAGGTCTGTAAGTAAGCTGTTTAGTTAGCTAGCTGTTACGTATTTAGTATCAATTCCTTATGTTAATTATATTATTACTATTCATACAACCGGGTAACACTGAAATTTTTTTGTAGTAGAAGAACCACGTGATAACATATGTGGCCAGAAAAATGGTTAATCAAAAGCACCAAAACACGTAAGAAGTATAGTTTTAGTTACATCAAACATGGTTTATATCAAGAACCCAATCCTTCGTCACATACGAAGGAAACCGATTTCTTTGATTGCGCCGATTTCCATCCTTTTGATAATATATTTTTTCTTTTTCCATTCGGTGGGATCAAAAGGTTTTAACTCCAAAAGCAAATCAAAGTATAGCTATTCCAAGAAATCACGTAGCTGGTTTGGCAAAAATAGGGACACTGTTATTTTAAGAGATTTACCAAAGAACCACATTAGTCATTACGATTTAAACAAGTTAAGTGCCACCACAAATGCATTAGAAAATAGGGAAGAAGTGTTGATCTTGACTCCTATGTCGAAATTTTTGCCTCAATACTGGGACAATTTAGTAAAATTATCGTACGAGCATAGTTTGATTGAATTAGGATTTATTTTGCCAAGAACCGCTGATGGAGACAAAGCGTTGCAACAGCTAGAATCGCATGTCAAGAAAACCCAAAACTCGAAAGCCAAGTTTAAAAAGATCACTATATTGAGACAAGATTCGGGGTCATTGGAATCGCAAACAGAAAAGGACCGCCATGCTCTTAAGGTGCAGAAAGAAAGAAGGTCAATGATGGCATTGGCAAGAAACTCGTTAGTGTTTACAACAATATCTCCTTCCACATCGTGGTGTTTTTGGCTAGATGCAGACATTGTTGAGACTCCTCCTACTTTATTACAAGATTTGATTTCGCATAATAAGCCGGTGGTGTCTGCCAATGTGTACCAGCGATTCACCGACCCTAATACCAAAGAACCTTCTATCAGACCATACGATTTTAACAATTGGGTTGAATCAGAGACTGGGTTACAAATAGCAGCCGGATTGAAAGATGACGAAATTATCGTAGAAGGATATGCAGAAATGGCTACCTATAGACCATTGATGGCTCATTTCTACGATGCTAATGGTGATAAAAACACTGAAATGGCTTTGGATGGTGTAGGTGGTGGAGCAGTCTTAGTTAATGCTGATGTTCATAGAGATGGTGCGATGTTTCCCTCATTTCCATTCTACCATTGATTGAAACTGAAGGGTTTGCTAGAATGGCCAAAAGATTAGGTTATGAAGTATTTGGTTTACCTAATTACTTGGTATATCACTACGATGAATAATTATAAAGTTTCCATTATGGATTATATTATATAGTCTTTACAATCAACCAGAAATATACTACACATGAACTATACTATACATGAACTAAATATTGATATAGATCCTTATATATATAGTGTTGAATGTATAGGCTTTATGTAAACCAAATCAAAGAAATAAAAAAATCGAGCCGCATCCCAAAGAAA